GCAACAAATTCAGACCTTCAATTAACACATTAATTAACAGTTGTCATACAAGTAATTTCTGAAGATGCTGTATTAAATATATTTGCATATTTGTTTCAATATATGGGTTCTAGAGTTCAAGCCATCCCACAGACTGAACGCTCCTGTGGCTGCTGATGCACGCTTATAATTGGCTGAGACAAAGATGCATTCGCAGCTGATTGGCTCAAAGTTTGTGGCTTCTGTTTTTTCAGGAGGCTGAGCAGCAGCGTGATAAAAGAGCAGCCTGAGAGCGCACGCTGTAAAAGGCGTCAGAACAGGACAGTAGAGAGCAGTCAGCAACCAGAAGACTCCCTCACTTCTCCTCCCACTCAAAGAACATCAGAAGAGCTACAAGAAGCCATGCTCACCGCTTGCTTGGAGGTCCTGGGCTTGGCGCTGTGCGTCACGGGCTCTCTGCTGGCGATGGTCGCCTGCGGGCTGCCCATGTGGAGGGTGAGCGCCTTCATCGATTCCAACATCCTGGTGGCTCAGACCCTCTGGGAGGGACTGTGGATGTCCTGCGTGGTGCAGAGTACCGGCCAGATGCAGTGCAAAGTGCATGACTCCATGCTGGCTCTCGAGCAGGATCATCAGACGGCGCGCGCCCTGACGGTCATCTCCGCAGTCCTGGCGATCGTCGCCCTAGCGGTCACGGTGGCCGGAGCGCAGTGCACCAACTGCATCAGGGATGAGACGATAAAGGCGAGAGTGGTTCACGCCGGGGGAGTGATCTACATCATCAGCGGACTCTTCGTGCTCGTCCCGCTCTGCTGGGTGGCCCATCGCATCATACTGGACTTCAACAACCCCAACATCCCTTCCTCCAAGAAGAGAGAGATCGGAGCGGCAATCTATGTGGGCTGGGCGGCCGCCGCGCTGCTGCTGCTCGGCGGGACCCTGCTGTGCTGCTCCTTCTCCCGGACGGTCAGGGGCGCAAATTCCATGAAATACACTCCAACCAAGACGATCGCAGTGAACGGGGAGTTCAACAAGAACCTGTATGTGTAAACTAGAAGATATATACAGGACACTTTGATTTGTAGCAGTTTTGCCAGAATCTCTGAAAGATGCGGTGCCTCTATACATACTCATGTGACGTACTGAGGGCGCTCATTTGACGCTTAATGCGGCTGTAACTGTAACTCCGGAGCCGGATCGTGTCACATATGCGAGTTACTGCTCTGAATATTGTGTAGTATTTTTCAAATAGCGGAAGTAGTCAGCAGTTCACTCCTGAGAAACGCAGTTTAGGATTGAAAAGATGTTGAATGTGTTGCCAGGAGCTTTTAATAACCATGTGGCTGCTGAGGCTGAGTGCTGAGCCTCGGCCTCTGAACGGCTTCAGTGTAAATATGTTTTCCTCTTCCTCTCTCAGTCAGTGGACTTATTTCCATGTTTGTGAGATTTCTCAGGGTTGGCAATAATTCAAACCCTGCGCACCCAGGCTCTAATCAAGGGGACAGTTTGCATTTCTCCTTATGCCTTCAGGTATTTTTTAGAGTACTTTTTCTAATAAAGAAGAAAAAACACTTGTCTGCCTTTACTATTTATATCTCGGTCAATCAATCACTACCCATTTGCCTGCTGTTATCAAAAAATCGTGAGGAAAATATCTGAACTATTTCAGTTGCAGAAAATTCTAAGGTCCGTTTTGTAAGTGGCTGTGATTTAAAAGCAAATTAAAACCTTTCATAATAAAGTGATTAAAATAATGTGACAAAACAAGTGCTTCCGATTTCTGTCCAAAACAAGAGTGATGAAGAGAAATGAAGCTGAACTAGGACCAGGATGTGTGTTCGTGTAATACCACTTTGGAACACAAGGTGGTGCAACAGTTTTCTCCCCCACCTAACTACACTCAGTATGTTTTATAAGAATATTTGCTAGCTTTTCTAATTTTATCCTGTAGGGAAAACACACTGAAAGAGCTAACAGATGATGAGGCATTGAAGAAAAATCCAAAACAAGATGTTGCTTCCTTTTCGGGGGGACAAGAGAACCCAAAGCACACAAGCAAAATGCCCTCCACAGCACAAGAGTGCCACCACACCCTCTCACTGAAGCACTCACAGTTTCAGGGCTTTAATGTGTTTTGTTTCCCATTTGGACCAACAAACCAATCCAGAATGTTGAGTATAACAAAGCCAACCTTTTCCGTCACAGAGCAGCTTAACCCGGGATGGGATGTTTACTGGCTGTTGGTTTAGGCATCTCAGTGGGTGCTTTAAAAAGATCTAGACTGTTGCTGTTACTGTACTACCATGATGGTCCACACTCTCTGATATTACCATGAGCTTCACTTCTTTTATAAAGGTCTTCTGGTACGTTCATAAAGTAGGCGTGACAGTGTCATCAGCAAGTTTGTCTGTAAAGGAAACTAAAAATAGAAAAATGATGGCAAATAATCAGATTCCTGGTTCTTACACCCTAACAGAGTGGTACATGGGAGAGCCATTTGAACAGTGCACCCAGCACATCATTAGGGTCTGTGCAATCAAAAGGGTGCAACTCCAGCCACAGGAAGCTTGGCCTAGATCTGGGAGAGTGGAGCAATTAGTGCCCTCATGTGCATAAACAGAAAAGGAAAGCATGCACACAAACACCATCAGGACAACAACCCCGCACAGCGCACGCACGCACGCACACAAGCATGCACGCACGCACACACGCACACACACACACACACAGTATGTCGCCAATTGCACGAACATTTCCCCTCTGACTGAGATTCCAAGCAAGTGGAACAACAACTTCCACTTTTCAAAAAGAAGCCTGTTTTTGGTTTTAGTGTTGCTTAAAGAGAAAGCAGCCAAACCCAGTACACTGTAAATACTATATGTGTGTTTAGAGAACAAAGTCTAGAAGATCAATGGTGCAAACTTGGAGTTAGCTCAGAACTTTAAAGACCAAAAAAACCCAAAAACAAACCCCTGACAACTGAACGTAATTACCTGAAAAAAGATAAAAGGTTCTGTTTTTAACAGAACCTGAAAAAAGAACTATTTGATTAAACACATGTCTAAGCGCATTAAAGCCAGAATTCTATCCAAATGATATAAAAGCTAGAAATGACAAGGCAAGAACACTATTCTCCTGCATTCCCAGTGCTTCCAACCATACATCATTCTAAAACATGGATAACACTGGGACTAAGCTCAGCACACAATCAACATGTTGCCACTGATCTACTAATTATTCAGTGTTCAGAAAGCATTCACATTAGCCTAAGAGAGCAAAGACAGTCATGAATGTTTTGCATGTTTATATGGACTGTATATAAAAGATGGAGCCCTGTCTTCTTTGTCTTCCAGCTGCTCCCTTTAGCGGTTGCCACAGCAGATCATGTCTCCATCTCATGCTGTCCCTAGCACGCCCTCCATTACTACTGTGACTTCATTTATAAGTTTCATAGGCCTGTCGTAAAGAAACAGGGACACTGTGCTCCATGATAACTTCTAGATCATAATTATGACTGACTTCAAACTTTAATATGAGTAATTTAAAAACTGAAACTGTCTGCGATCCAATTTTTGAGCTATGAAGCTTCAATTTTAAAGTTGGACATACTAACATGAGAGTCTGTGGGGACTGATTCACTTTTAGGGTGGAAGTTTTTGGCAGTAGTTGCAGTTTTGTACCCTTGGTAGCAACTGAACATCATGTAAACCCCACAGCCTACCGGAGCATTGTTGCTGACGTCTTTTATGTGATGGGACAAAATTTACAGTTTTCATTCACTCACAGATCATTTTTATGGCATCATCAATTCTTTAATATCAACATCTGCACACTATGCGTTACGATAAAATATGTACAAGCCACTGAGGCAAAGGAGGTATGTGAGGCAGATATACAGGATTTTATTACACAACCTCTAACATTCACACATAACTCAAAAAAGTGACCTCCTTCAACCCTTTATCTTGACAAAACTGTAGTCGGCAAGTGGGAGTTCGCTGATCTTGTGTCTGTGATTATAGTGCAGTGATTGATGACTCAATCAGTAATTAATGAGCCACAGATGAAGGCACTCTGTCGCCCACTGGTGGCTTAACCTCCTTATAGAAGGCACAAAAAAAAAATTTGTCCTCCAGTTCATGTATGACACCCCATCAAAGGTGGGTAATATTCATGATTCCAGAGGGTTTCGTTACAGTGTTTGCTCATAGCACCAACCCACACTGACAAGTCCAATAGTAACTAATGAAAGTAAAGGTCGTCATGTATGGAGAAAGAAATATGTCTCAAAAGGGTTGCAAACACGTACAATACACATAATAATTGGGTGTGTTCAAAAAGTACCTTCCTTTTCCTATTCCCAAGCTCTTTTCCTTCCTACTACTTTTCCTTTTTTTAAAGGTAGGAAAATTGCTAAGGACTTAGGAAAAGTGAAGCGTGGTGAGCTGAGAATTGGAACAGCCTTTCGCTTGTTTCTCCTCATCGGTGTGACGACGAATGTCCGCTATGTTGAAACTACAATATGCAGAGGATGGACTACAAAATGCGCACCTTACATGGCCACGATGTGTTTGAACACTGTTGTTTATGGAGGTCGAATAAACCAGAACAGCCTGTGAAAAATATCCCACGATTACAAAGTTTGGCAATTTCAAGGAGGAGGAAGATTTAGTGCCAGACTAATATCTACGGCAAACGAAAGCCTTCTTTGCGCGTTAAATATCTGCTGGGTTTAATAAAGAGACTCAGTGTCTGTTTGTGACTGACAGTTGTAAACAGAATTTTTGTGGCCGGTCATACGGTAGATGTATTTGTATGAATTTGACATTCAGGAGAATTTTTAATCGAGTCACGCAAATGTGAATGAAAAAGTCTGTGACAAATAAAAGTACCAGTGTGTCACAGCTACTTCACACACATGGCTCAGCAATACAGTGACAGGGACGGCTGTTTTCAAAGAGGCACTCGTATTAA